AGTGAATTTCTTGGTGTATTTCTATATTATGAAAGATGACACTTGGGATTTTTCGTCAGCGCGAATAGCCACAGATTAGGGTAATACTGGATTACCTAATTGCTGAAGACTGCTGATATAGGAATTTTCTTCGACATACAGTAAAGATTTTTCTCGTAGTAATTCTGGTTTATAAATCATTTGGTAAAGCCAATATTACTACTGCTGCGAAACCGTCCCATTGCACGCTGAAGATGTTTTCTAGATAATATATCTATTCTTATAGTAGTTAGCAAAATACTATATAATATCGTCCTATTGCTGCCAAAAGTCACTAACTAACATTTTTTTCGAACAGCAAATTCAATCACTAAGCATAACGAGTGGAGAATAGATTGCAAAAGTCATTAATTACGATTTCTGGCTATTATCATTTTATTTTAATACCAGAATAGTTACTAACTTCTATAACATTTTTATGCAATGCAATTCATTTTTTTAAGACGCATTTTTTCTCGTAAGTAATAAAAAGTAAGTTGGTGACTTTTAGCTAATAAGGCTATAATACTGAACCAAAAAATGTGGTTTTCTAGGCTTGTCTGTGTATATCAGTAACATTGACTAGTTCATTTCCCAAAGAAAATCTGTAACTAATATCTCTACCATTTATACTCATTACAACAAATTTAACTGAAATTCAAATTTTGTTCTTAACTTGCTTAACAGACATGAAATTGTAATAATTAGTACTTTTTATCATGGCGACTATGATGTTATAGCGTAAGTGTATTAAAAATATGGGTAAAGATAGAAAAAATTGGAATAAATCGCAAACTAATAAAATAGGTATATAACATACTTAATAAAAAGTTGAAGAGTTTTGTAAAATCTATCAGAAAAATAATAATATATAAGGTAAAAATGCATTTAAAAAAATTGAAATTTCTTGATTTTAAGTAGTTGAAATTCTTAAATATATTTTGAACACCCTGTAACATCTAACTAAAATATCTTTACATAGGTCTTTTCCTGTATCTCTATAAAATTCTCCTACCAAATGTTAGTTGTCTAACTAGAATCAGCCATCAGCGACAATTTTTATCACACTGCAATCTAACATTTGTTTAAACAAATTGAAATATAACAAAAACTATTAACTTTAGGTATATAACATTATTATAAAAAAGTTATGAAATTTTACGCAAATGTAAAAATAAAATAAAATGGGGTGTTGCATTTAAAAATATATGTTATATTCGCCACACTTTTTGAAGCACCCAGTATACTGTATAATAATTTTAAATTTTTTTTTTTTAAATGTAAATATTTATGTGTTACATTAATATTTTTTGTAAACCTCAGAAACAAATGAGATAATGGACTTTACTTTATCGTTGACTCACCCTACCTTTAGGAAAGTTATAGCAACCAATGGAGGCAATACAAAGTATTAGGTATTTGTTACAATTTTTTTTTATTTTTTTTGTGTGTGTGTGTGTTTTCTTTTAATATCAGGACTAGTTTAGCCTTTAACATTTTTTTAACCTAGTGTATAGTATCCAATGATATATTACAATGGTCACCAAAGCCACCTCGTCGTATTGAAAAAATAACATCAAAGTAATGATGATTGAAAAAAGTGCGAGTCGGACTCGTGCACGAAGGGTTCCGTACCTTTCATTATCTATACAACATTAGACACTATATTATTATAAACTTTTTGCGATTTAGTTGAGAAAATTTGAATGCGCGTATAAGTAATTAAAAAAATGAAGAGCGCATTACTAAAAATTGTATTAATCAGTAATAATATGTAAAAGTAAAAATAAATATGTAAGGGTAAAAAAACATTAAAAAGTCGCCTTGACTAGGATTCGAGCCTGCCTTACTACGGCTCAACGTCATAGCAGCGTAAAGCCCAAACGCTTTACCCACGCGACCACCGAGGACTTGAAAGATTCTATGTAAAAATTCTTACTTAAAGATAATGTTTAGTGAAAGGTAACATTTATAAATATTTATTTAATTCATTTAGTATTTGTTCTTATAGCGGCAACATAGATACATTATCTATACAATATTTCCACTGTCTGGCTATAACGGTTCATAAGATAGACCTTTGACAGACGGACGGACGGATAGCGAAGTCTAAAGGAGGGCGCGCACTGCATCGGATCGGACCAGCAAAAGCGACTGCGACCATCGTACATATAGACAGCGCCGGCGTCCACTAAAACATTTCGGCCTGTAGAGGCCAGATTCCTACTTCTACCTATCTACGATAGTGGAGTCACCGCCTTCGCCGTTTCTCGCCGGACTGGTGCCGATTCAGTGCGCGTACACCTTTAGTAATAGCCTTGTATATGGATTTTTAAATTAGCTCAACCTAAGACGTTTATGGATGTAAAGCACCAGATGGCGGGGTCTTTTACTACAGAAAAATATTTTTTGTTACTCTGAATTTTGAAGAGACCAATAAAAAACAGAAAAATAAAAATAGTAATTATTACAAAATCTATTGGTTTTGTTTATTATTTCTGTTTCTGTAGATATTTTTTATCTATTAGATATGCTATAAAGCTGGTAATTATACAATTTGACCAGGGCTGCGGACCATTGTAAATACCCGACAAATTCCGCAAGGCCGACGAGGTCGTTGTTTTTCACTGATAAGAGAAAAAAAATGTTTTTTTTACATTTTAAATAATTTTCAGATATTTTTTTTCTGAATGCACATTACAAAGTATTTTTACTGTTCTTTTGTCCGCTTGATCTATTATACTGGTCGCACGTATCGGAGTTCTGTTTCTTCTAGTTTTAAAAAATGTTTTCTTATTTCTTTGTAGTAGTTGTAGTGTAAAATTAGATTAATTTTATTAAGTTTAATTATAATGTTTAGTGTAGAATACCACAAATAGTTTAGTAGTGTTTTTATAGTTTAAATATTTTACAGCAGTTAAGTAGTAGGTGAAGGGAAAATTTGGTTATTTTTTTTTCTTTTTGTTTGATGAATTAGTAAGTTTGATAATTTTTCAGTGTAGAATACAAAAAGTAGTTGTGTAGTGTTTTTATAAGAGATTATATTAGTTTATTTGTAGATGAGTAGTAGGTGAAGGTATTTGGGTATTTGTATTTTTGTTTTCTTCTAATTGTAGTAATTCTATTAATTATTGTGATAGATACACTATATCTTCCTTCAACTTCATTGAAAAGTGCATTATCATAGATTTTGGTTTTCTGGTAGTAGAATATACGAAAAAAAACCTGATCAAATTTATTTTAAATTAAGATTTTTTTTTTTTTTTATTAATCAAAATTAATCTAGTCAAATAATAATAATAGTTAGTTTCTAAATACTACACAGGGGTGAGTTTCCTACGATATTCTCTATGGGCATCTCGGAAACTACTGGAGACTGAAGATAGAGAGTCGGTTAAATGAAAGAATTGCAGTGTTGTGGGGTCCATAAATATGGCGCCTTTCGGATTTTTCGAAGAGATTCAAGGCTTACTAGATATTTCGAAAAAACAAATTTCGGCTATTTTAAAACTTTTGTCTCTAATTCCATTATAATCTACCGTATGATCGAATAAAAACAGCGTCAACGATGTCTATGAAATGAAGATCACTGTTATTTTATATGTAAGAATTCTATGGGAATATCATCGATCGTTATTTCATAGCCATCGCTGACGCCGTTTTTATTCGATCATATATTTAAACAAAAGTTTTTCACACCAAATGTTGTAGATAATCACATACCTAATGAGTTTCTGTTTTTCTGTTTTTTTTTTTCTAAAGCCTGTCAAGTTATGTAAAATTCTTTTCTTGTCAATTTCCATACCAATAATACCATACCAATTAGTTGGCATCAAGAATGTAAAAAGTTTTATGTTTTTCAAAAAATAAAAAAAAAAAAAAAAAAAAAAAATATTTAGAATAAAATAAATCTAAGAATGAAATGATTCTTTTATACCTGCACATTAAATCCAAAATTAAAATAGAGTATATTGAACTTTTTTTTAAATATTAATTAATAGCCATTAGCATTATTATAAATTATTATATAAATAATGTACCAACATATTGAAATAATAATTTCTTTGTTAATACAGTTTAGAATTCTTAAAATAACAGGCAAATATAATCCACAATTTACAATAAAATAAAAGTTTTGTTTTAAATTTCTAACTGATAAGCTGATCACTATTAAAGTTCGCAGAAACCGGGGGCTATATTATTATTTTAAATTACTCTGAGAAAATAACGAAAATAATCGATATTTTTGACTCCGCCTTGAAAGGTTCACGATTTGTTCTCCAGATGGCAGCACATTTTGTCTAGTCGGTTGAACAACTTTAAGAATATATACAAGATTAATAGGGGTTCCCATTTTCGCTTGGGTACAGAACCTAGGTACAATTTCTTGGTGGCAAGTTCATTTCATATAAAAATTAACCAGGCATGTGTTGTTTGAGACATAAAAAACAGAGACAAAATGCTCAAGAGAGATGATACTGACAGAAAAACAATGTTTTAAGATTGCTCACAAAATTATTGCACAGAGTTTTAAAGTTAAGGCAAAAACAACCATTCGATAAATCGTGTATAATACAGCCCAATACATCCTGTATAATAAAGCCCAATACTAAAGTTTATAAAAGAACTGAATTTGATTTCAGTTCAATTTTAATTATTGCATCTGAGTGTAATCTTTGAAATATAATATAAAAAAAAAGTTTTTTTTTTAGTTAAAATAATTTAAAATATAAACAAACACTACGGTGAGGTTTTTATAAAATCATATTTGCACTTGACAAATACTATCTGTATCTATAAACGTATGAAAACTAAAAACTAGTCATAAGCTTTGTTAATTGGGAGCCAGATCTAGAAAAGTAGCTATCAATATTGACATACTATACATCTAAAATCAGTTTTAGGATAAGTTAGTTTCAATTATTAACAGGTAACATTCGATATTATACATCTAAAGTATCATGCAAATGAGTTTGAAATACCTTGATGGGCACAATATCTGTGCAATACATTGAATAGGTATAGGATGGGTTGGTAGTGGGGCCCATCGACGTCGTCATGTGCCTCGTCTGGTCGATCTCCCAGGGCTGGTGGAACGAGCGGAACGTACTGTGCACCTGAGGGGGCGCTCCGGGCGAGGGGAGGTCCATGGGTACGTGTACCAACACGTCCTTACATACATAAACATGCAGCGTAAGCAATAGGTCAGGTTGGTTCGGCAGTTTTGTCAACATCTTTCTTATTTTACACTTTCGAGTAATGTTAGTTTTTTCTACGGCCCCAGTGTTTTATTTATTTATTAATTAAATTGCTTTTATATGATAAAGGGTTTTATAATGATCAGAGGTTTGTTGGGATCTTCATTTCAATTGGTCAAAGTTTTGTTTTGTCCTGTTTTAGATTCAACTAAATTAATGTCTGTATAATCTACGAAATAACCCTATGACAAAGTAACAGGTATTTAGTATTTTCTGTCATTCTTGAAAGTCGATATATTTTCTGGTGGGTGTGAATACGATTAAGTTTCTTTATAGTTTTCTAGTATAGCAACACTTCTATATATTTCTTTATGGTGTCTCGTAACGATAATACACGAAAACACATGAATTTAACAGTAAAGAAGTTCATGTGAAATACTAAAAAGTTTTTAATGTCTCTTCGCTATAGCTTGCTCTATGTGAGATAGGATGATTTCGCCAGATGACACCCAAAAAAAATGACAGAAAAAAAAAAAAAAAACACGTTTGACTTGAAATGACAGCCAACAACTAATCACTGTATCACACAATTCTATCAACTAGACAGACTACAGGGTGGAGTCCAAATTCAAATGCTTTCAAATGGAAACACCCTTTTCTATAGGAGATAGACGAAACTAATATCGGTGTCTGGAGGTCGAATTTTCATCCAAAACATGATGGTGAAAACCGCACATCAATATCTGTTACCGTTTCGGAATTACGGGGTGTTTTTCAAATGTGCATTTTAACAAATCACTGTAACTTTTTGGCTATAAGGAAAATTTCGTATTTCTATGAAAACACTTCCAAAACACGCTTTTTACGTAGAATTTAATGGTTTAAGTATAATTTTTTAAAATTAATAATTTAAGAGTTATCAACAGAAAAAATTTTTTTTTTGATTTTTTATTTGGGACACCCTCTATATTTTAATTAACTGAAGAATTTAAAATTACCTTTCCAAAATATACTTGATATTTTGGTATAATCACCTTCGAAATACAGAATTTTTAAAGGTTCGCCACTTTTAACTAGTAGGCTTTGGACCCCTTATTGATGATATACCCTTAATGGAACTGGAAAACATATTTTTTCCAGCAAGACGATAACACACACCGCCTAGAACCACAAGTTGTCAGCAAATTTTGCAGCCAATTTCAAGAATAATTGAATAACTAACCCAGATCCCAGCCGTTGGCCGTCTGATATTTGTGGAAGAACAAAGGTTCCTTATTCTTCCACATAATCTAGACAAGAAATAAGAATTAGAAATACTTAGGAGTTATGAGAGGGTATCTTTGACCCCCACTGAGTTAATGAATTCCGCGAGAAATGTTTAAAAACTGCCCCGTCTCTGTCCATAACAGAAGACGGTCGATATATCGAACACCTGTAGCAAAATCTCATGTCTTGGTTTGCTATATTTTATTGTTATTAGATATAGTTTAAATGTGTTGATGTTGGTTAAATATATTTAAATTGTTATAAAACTCTGTATCTCTCATATAAACTTATTTTCCTTTCAATGCTCTGACTGAACTTTTTGCATTACAGCCGGTGCCGTTCAAAGCCTACTTATTTAAAGCGGGCGAATTTTTATATACTCTATATCTCGAAGAGGAATCGAGCAAAATATCAAGTAGCATTTATATTTTTTGGAAAGGTAATTTTAAATTCTCTTCAATAAATTAAATATACAGGGTGTCCCATATAAAAAAATCAAATTTTCTGTGATAATTCTTAAATTATTAATTAAAAAAAATTATACTTAAACCGTTAAATTCTGCGTAAAAATGCTTTGGAAATGTTTTCATAAAAATACTTTTTTTTTTTGTTTATATTTGATATTTGTTAAAATGCATATTTTAGAAAAACACCCCGTAACTCAGAAACAGTAACAGATATCGATATGCGGTTTTACCATCATATTTTTGACAAAAATTAAGTTCCAAACATCGATATTAGTTTTTGTCTATCTCCTATAAGAAAACGGTGTTTCATTTAAAAGCGTCGGGTGACCCACCGCAGTACAAAGGTGTCCCATTTTTGGTTGAAATCAGACGATATCTCCGCTATTAGTGAAGATAGAAGGTGTGGTTTGCACAAACCTGTTCCACTTTTTTCTCCAACGGAAAATGCTGTAAACCAAATTTTCATAGCCCTCTTCGTTTCTGAGCCACAGGGTCTTTTTAAATTTAGCAATTTGGGACACACCTCGTATCTCTGTTATCGTGAAAGGTATCGAGAAGGTGAAAACTCTTTATTGTAGAACTTATAACGCAGAGTAGAGTGGCGTAATCTATTAATCTACGAAAAGAATAATGAACTAAAGTTATGTTTTCTTAAATGGAACACCCGTATATTTATAAATTATATGATCGGGCTTGCTATAAGCTTCTTAAAACTATATATGACTCAATATTTGAGTTTCCACTATTTTACCACAATATTTAAAAGTTTTCATTAAAACATCATTATTAGTAGTAGTAGGCCATGATTGATAATAAAAGAAACTCAAGAATTATTAAAAATATACTGCCATCTATCTCTTGGTATAATTTTTGAGCCACTAATAAATTCTTTATTTATCAGGGAAACCTAACTCTTTACCGCTATTTGTAAATCTCTACCGCTATTTGTAATCTTGGAAGCTATCGTACCGGAACTTTTAGATACTCCTTTAGCTAATTTACATGAAATACTTATACTTTGACTTTTGAAAATATTCGAGTTTTGTTAAATGGCTATTTCCCAAATCTATGAATTGAGACCAATATGGACCCATACGATGCCACCCTGATCTCTGGATTTGTCCGTTCTCGATTCTGATTTAAGGGATTTTGAAATATAAGGAAATATATTGTAGCAACTACAACAATGCCTAAGACCTGGAAAATGCTATCAGGCAAGCTTTAAGATATTTGCAAACCCCATCCCGTTATAAAAAAAATTGGGCGAAGGGAGACACGTATAGCCGCCCATACTAAAATATGTTATAAATAAATTATCTCCAAAAACTGCGACGTTGTTGATTTTGATGTTATTACCAATTTTGCCAAATATTGTTCCTAAATCTTAAATTGAAAACCGCGTTTCGCTAGCTACTGTAATTTTGGAGTTACGATTTTTAAAATTTTAACCCCCACCCATACCCCCATACCAACTCCCACCCCACAAAAACTAATGGCCAGAAAAATGGCATCCCGGGTGCCACAGTATTTTTGTGCCAAATTAAAATCGGTTTAGCGGTTTTGAGTTATCGTGTTACAGACGGACAGACGAACACCATGAAAATATTTTGTATTTAGGTCAGTTATGACCCAAATAACTAATTTTGAGTGAAATTAAAGAAACTTTTTTTTGCTGATCCTAATATGCATACCAATAGGTATGGGTAGGCTATTAAGATCGGCAAAAAGTTTTTTTTAATTTCCACTCAAAAATGAGATGACTTGGGTTATAAATGACCTAAATACAAACTATTTTCATGGTGTCTCATTTTGGTTCAAACTCAAAAACCACTGAACCGATTTTAACCAAATGTGGCACCCGAGAATCTGACCGTTAGTTTTTGGTGTGGTTGGGGGGTTGGTAAGAGGTATGGGAGGGTAAGAACTAAAAAATCGTAATAATATTGTGTAGCAACACGGCCTCAAGTGTATGAATATTGCAACAAAAATTCTTTCAACTCTTCCCAAAATCAATCAAAATCACGGTACAATGTTAACTTTATATTTTAGTATTGCGAAACTATCCGTTCACTGTTCGGTTTTTATATGATTCAAAATAAAAATAATAAATTTTAAAATTAGTAATTTTTAATGGCCATAATGCGTTCTTTTAAAATCATCGAACAACTAAATCATTTCCATAGATCCAGTGACTTACCGTGACTTTGAATTTTGAGACCAAAAGCGACAAATAATTTGTCAAAAAATCATTTACAGCTATATGTTTTATTTTGCAAAAATGTTAACTAATAAGTTAGAATAATTTATATTTCTTTTTTTTTTTTTTTTTTTTTTTTTTTTTTTTATAAAATAATAAAATTACAGCACAAATCTTAAATACGTGGACTATTAACAACAAATACATCGTAAAGGACTATTTTGGTAGCATTCTGAACGTGGATTCAAGTTAAACTTTTTTAGAAAATGATTTTAAAAGAAAAAATAAGACACGATGCTTGTTTCGAGTAAAATCCTAGAGCTCTAGTTTGTTTTTATAAACTCTGGCACATGATGCAGAGTTGCATGAATCTTTGGAGTTATCTTAATACCTAAGTTAAGTATTTCCAATCTAAATTGTTCGATGTCATAATTTCAATATGTTTACATCCTGGTCTTGACCAAAACAACTCAACGAATTGTTGATTGAAGATACAGAAAACACTGCAATATATTTATTCCTAAAAAAAGATGTTTAGGTTTTTGGCACATAAAAATTTTGAATAGGATTCTTTACCGGGCGATATCGTCTTCGAAATATCCACTTTCTTTAAAAGTTGTCTGGCGTTATTTCCGTTACATTTTCCATAATGATGAACATTGGTATTCTCCAATAATTCAAGACAATCAAATAGTTTTTGAACCACACCTAACAAAGGTGAAGCTCAGGAGGGGAATATACTTTAAGACAGGTGTTGCTTCGTCGCCAATGATTAAAGGTATGTTTATACATTTTCTAAAAATAATTGCCCTTTTTTATATGGTTCATCGAACAACAGTTTAAAAAATACAAAAAATATTTCAAACAAAAACGCTTACTAAAATCTTTGGCTTTTGTTATATTTCTTTTTTTTTTTTTTTTTTTTTTAAATTATTTTATGTAATACTTTTATAGTTTTGAATAATCCTTTAATTTCCGTTTCCTTTACATTTACATCACACCATGGGCAAGTGTGAATGGATGAATTTGACTGAAGACCAAGGAGAATCATAATAAGCTTAAGGTCAGCGGCAAAAGTATAGGACAAATTCCACATATGGACTGCAGATCTAACGTCTCAAAGAGGCTTTTAATGTTAGCATAAGATTCAGACAACTTTGGTTCTAAGCCAATTATGAATAGTTTACTATTAATTCCAGCACTTTTACATTTCTTGAAATATTCAGGATCATTTTCAGGGAGCACATTCAGACAAACTTTAAGTGATCCACCACCACTATCAATACCAATTTTTAGATGAAAATCTTCAGGTAATTCTCTAATTTCCAAAATATATGATAGAAGACCAGATAAATCTGAGCAGTAGACAAAAATTAATATTAACTGAACATTTTTCCTTTAAATTATTTTCTAAAATCATTTAGCAATTCTAGTTCAGAATGCTACCAAAATAGTCTTTTACGATGTACCTATTTGTTGTTATAATAGTCCACGTATTTAAGATTGGTGTTGTACTTAGCTTTAGTTAAAGTTAGCGATAAAACCACTTAGGTAGGGAAGAATTATAATTATTCTAACTGATAGTTAACATTTTTTTATGCAAAATAAAACATATAGCTGTAATATCATTTTTTGACAATTATTGCTTCAGTTTTTGGTCTCAAAATTCAAAATCACGGTACGTCACTGGATTTATGGAAATGATTTAGTTGTTCGATGATTTTGAAAGAACGCCATTATGGCCATTAAAAAAATACTAATTTTACAATTTATATATTTTTTATTTTTGAATCATATACAAACCGAACAGTGGCCTACCAGGCGCCAGGTTTTTGCCGATCTTAATAGCCTAACATACCTGTTGGTATGGTATGTATTCTTGGCGTATGTATGACTATTTTAGTAAATACCACGACGCCATTGCGTATTTTACATAAAGTTCTACAAGAATCAGTTTCACCTTCTCGATACCTTTCATAATAACAGAATACGGGGGTGTCCCAAATTGCAAAATTTTCAAAAGACCCTGTAGCTCAGAAACGAAAACTATAGAAAATTTTGTTTACAGCATCTTCAGTTTGACGAAGTAATGGAACAGGTTTGTGCAAACCGCATCATTATTAAAAACATTTATCATAATACCATACGATCGAAAAAAAAATGCGTCAAAGACGACTGAATGATGACAAACAATGATAATTATGGCGAGGTCCAAACTGCTGAAGCCTACTAAATGCGCTTACTGCAAGTTGGTAAGAAGGTGCTAATTTATTTTTATAATGAGTAAACATTATTTTTTAAATAGGTATTACCTAGTTTAAAATTCGAGGAGAAATATTTTTTAGAAAATAAGATTTGTGGTGTCTGGAAACGTTCTATGCTTTTTAAAAGTCTTTCTATAATTTAGAATTGGCCTGGCCAAAATTGTCATCAATTTTATTTCGTTGTTACATTCACAAAACATAGATTAGAAAAAATATAAAATCAAAAATATAAATTGATCTGTTGATGTTTATAGTACACTGAATGATTCGAATGACAAAACCGATAGATACAGCAATAAATTAATGTATGCATTAAGAGATGGTTAATGGTTAGTAGAAGCGTACAATAAAATAAATCAAACTACAATAAAGACAGTGGCATCACTGAATGGCGTGACAGATAGAAACGAGGAGTGTGAACAGCTTGCTGGCCATCTATTTGGACAGGGTGCAACGTAAATGCATGAAACTGACGTTTCACATCTCACGTGTTTCCGTTTTGAACCATTAAAAAATTAGTGGAAATGGTACGCCATTATGCAGCCCAATTATTTTTAGTCGTTACGATAACATTACAGATGTGGTTAAATTAATAAATAATCGGTAAAATAATCGATGATAATGATACGGTTACTTTGAACATGTTTGCTAGGGAGTGTGTTAGAAAATAAAAAAAAAATAAAAAACTAATGTAGGTAGTGTGATTTGTGTAGCAAATTAACCGAAACAACTAGAGGTTCGGATGCTGGATGTGAAACATCTATTCTAACGGCAAAGTCGATGTTTCTAATCATCTAAACGATCTAAGACTCGTGAACAGAATGAAAACATGCTCAAAGTAAAAGAAAGATTTTTAAGCCTTAGTTCATAGACCTGAAATATATCATAATTCGATACAATTTAGTGTTGCCAGATATGTACAGTATATGAAACTATCTCATCTAAAATCGTTAGATTCCTCTGGATTTTTACTCAATTTAAAAATAATTATCAACATATAGGATAATAAGTCTAAATTGTAGAAAGTTACTCTGTAGAAACTACTGATGTAGTTTCCATAACATTAATATAGAATTTTTGTCTTACGATGATGCCTCTTGTTTAAACACATTTTCAATATAATACGACTCTGAAATATTTGAAACTCACTGAAAAATCTTTAGATTTAAATTCCCTGTAAATTTGACAATTTTATGTCAAACACGCTATATCTAAAATTTACTTAAACTTCAAAGTTAAGGACAATGCACACTATCCGTTCCGTTTCCCTTTCCTTTCCATATCCTTTCCTTCCATACATTTTTTGACGGACTGAAGCGTATCGGTCAAGTTCTTATATTTGTACCAGCTCTGTGAAAATTTTTCTGATATTTATTTATTCTTTCGACCCTTAATTAAATCAATTATCATTCAAAAGATACAAATTTTTAAAATAAAACTTTCGTAATGATATAAATTGTCCAATAAAAAGTATAGAACTGATACGGAACGGAAGCTTACGTATAGCGTCAATACAATAAAAATACGGAACGAATATGGAATGGAAACGGAAGGTATAGTGAGAATCAACCTTTAATCTCTTCAAAAATGTCCAGTGGGTATTTCGCCACTTACATTGTAAGAAAGTCTACAAAATAAAATAGTTATTTTTAAAAATAATCAAGAACAAATAGGTTAATAATTAATTAGGATTATTTAAAAAGGGTCGATTTTCGCAAATCTAAGATTTGTCAGCATTCATGGGACACAGGGCATAGAGTAGATTTTAACAACGCAAAAATTATTATGAAAAAAGTGATAGCCTCTAAACGAAAAATAAGGCATTTTTAATACAGTTTGATATAAATAACAGCGCTTTCAGATGGAGCGGAGCGTTCGCGCGGACCGTACGCGCTGTTTTTGTGCTGCTTGTTTTTTCAAGAGATAGCCGTCAGACGAAATCATCCGGACGGAGCATACGCGACCCATGTAAAATTGTTCATTTAAACCAAAGTTTAAACTCATGGAACTCGCTGACGCTCCGCTCCATCTGAAAGCGCTGTAAACGTATTGTTCAGGCATCTGTAGACGTTAGTAATATATGGCTGCCGCTTTAAAGCGGCCCATACATTATCAAACAAATTGCGCAACACAGGCTGTTGCGCAACGAGTTGCCAATGTATGTTAACGTTTGATACGTTGCGCAATTGTTTGATAAGTCTCAAGAATGTTTAAATTCTTTTGTGCAACAGGACTCTGCGCAACGCGTTTTGTAGTGTATGTGTGTGTTGAGCTTCGTTGTGCAATATTTTAGTTCTTTCATCCAAATTCTATGATTTCTTTTTCGTTTTTTTGGTATCATCGACATCATCTAGGGTATATATGATAATAATTGACGTAATGGCAATTGAGGACATGATTGTTTCTCGAACAATGCACAACTTTTAATAAAAAGTTTGATCAAAATTTTACCAAGTGCATGGGTAATGCATTTGTGCAACAATGTATGGGCCGCTGAATCAGTTGTGCAACGCAACGTTGCGCATCGCTTTGTTGCGCAATTTGTTTGATAATGTATGGGCCGCTTAAGAACATGTAATATTATAAGATATTAAGGTACAATAAGAGACCAAAACGTATAAAGGGCGTGAAATCAATTGAAAAATTACCATCCCAATTATACTTTTATATTATCTAAACAAACCTGGCAACACATTTTTAGGATTATACTATTCTACGTTTCAGTAGTTCTTCACTTCAAAAAAATTTCATTGCCCTAGATTAGACGATAATAATTTTGAGATATAGTAAGTGATAACTATATAGAGCAGTTTTGTAGACGCTATAGGTTTATTATACCATAGCACATGAATCAACTTTAAAAATGAATGTGATAGACTATGGTTCAGTATTGAAACTAAAAGAATTTCGGACTTCCGTTGTCTTTATTTATTTTTTGATTAACACAACGTTTCGGTGAGATGGATCACTGACCATTATCAGGTATAAACTGAAAAAAAAGTTTACACTTGATAACGGTCAGCGATCCTTCTGAGCCAAACTTTGTGTTAATCAAAAAATAAATAAAGGCAATGGAAGTCCGAAATTCTTTTAGTTTCAACTTTAATAATGTAGTTGGAAATTGGTATAAGTATTATACTTCAAAATAAGCACCAATATCATGAAAAAATTCAGAATGGACACTACTGAAACATAAAGACTTTTCATAAGGCTTAAAAACTTGAACGAATGAAAAAATGGAACCGAGAAAATAAAACATAGTGAGGGGGACATCTAACAAAGTTAAAAACTATAAAGCCGCACTCACTTGTGTCGAATAGATCCTGTTGGATTCCGAGTTGATCCTTTTGCCCGCCTTGATATCTTTGATCCGCTTGATCGCCAGCATGACCTTCTTTTGATGGCCCAATTTAACTATGCCGAACTCTTCCAAGTCTTCCCAGGTCAGTTGAGCGACATCATCGATTGTCTGGTACCCTTGCTCGATGAAAGCGGAGAGGTATTCGTCCAAACGGAGAAGATTTAACCATTCTTCTAATGAGCCCTATAGTACAAAGAAAGTATTATTTCTATACAGTATTATCTGCTGATAATGCTCATGGTTAATGGTTAACACATCAGTTTTAATTATCTGCTGATGATGCTAATATGTCTAGCAAAACGCGCGTTCAGTGTTAAAGTGTTTTGGGATATTGGGGCGAACTTGTGTTTTATTTTGTTTAAGTATTTAATAAATGTTGAAATAAAAATCCACCGCAAAATATGGATTTTGAAGGTTCTTGGAAGGATTATAAATAGAAGTTGATAGAGGTTGTTTTTGACACATTTTCGTGTGTTAAATTCAGGTTAACTATTAATTATACGGGGTCGTTGTTGTCAAAGATATGAAAAAGGTTTTATCGGTATAATAATAAATAACGCTTTATTGTGCAAAAAGCCAAAATAGCTTCATTGACAAAGCATTTACAAAACAAACAATATACAAATAATAAAAATATACAAATAATAAAAAATAATTATACAATTCAAAAAAATTAAATCATTAAAATTACAAATATAACATAATTGACAATTGCAGAACACAAAAAAAGGCGTATCAATAAAATTTTACAATAGGAAAATTGTAAATGGATATAATTTTAAGAGTTATAAAATATTAAATACTCGACCTTTGACCAGTGTGTGAGATGATGAAAATTTTAAAATTCAAAATTGTTCATGATTAAACATCAACAAAAAAGTCGTTTACCGCATATAGGGCTCTCTCCAGTAAGTATGATTTCAGAGCTTTGCGAAATGCGGAAAGAATGAAAGCGACTTGATATTCAAAGGCAGATGATTGTACATTTTTTGGCATTGAACAGTATTGAACTAGTTCTGAGCACGTTGGCAGATAAAGATCGTGTCCGCATTCCTAAGTGGATAGTTATGAGATGGCCTTTCGGGAATAACAGATATGTGCTTGCGCAAACGGATTCAAAAATGAATAAAGAAGAAAGAGTCAGTATTTTGAAATGTTTAAAGAAATTCTGGCAGTGAGTTCTACTGTTCAGGCCCAATAAATATCGAACTGCTCTCTTTTGAAGTTTGAAAATACGACCAAATTTTATTGCACAGCAAGTACACCAGAATGGAAGAGCATAACGAAGATGTGACTCAAAAAGAGCATAATAGGCTATTCTAGAGGTTGATAAGTTAAGTTCCTTAGAAACTGATCTTAGCGCAAAACAGGCAGCGCTTAGTTTCTTTGATAAAGCTTCGATGTACAAGTCCCATTTTAACGAGTTGTCTACAACAAGTCCTAAGAATTTCACAGAGTCCACGACGTCAATAGTGGTGTTATTAAGTATAAAAAGTTGTATAGTTTTTATATGACAAAACTTTAGTTCTTGATAGGTTGAGGCATAGGAGATTACAGTCACTGGATATAGTATTATATAGTGCCGTAACATCTGGGCCGCTCCAAGTGAAACTAGTATCGTCCGTAAAGAGGCAGATTTTACCGCTAATGTCTAGATTTGCAATGTCGTTGATAAACACATGAAACAAAATAGGGTCAAGTACTGAACCCTGAGGGACACCACATTCTATAGGCTGACAAGAAGACATAGACGTAACAATCCTCATAAGCTGCCTTCTGTTGCCAAGATGACTTAAGCCATTCGAGCGGCACTCCCCTGAATCCATAGTATTGCAATTTGTTAATTAAGATATTATGATTTACACAGTCGATAGCCTTAGAGAAATCATATTATCATTTTATTCTAAACATTGTTACATTGTTTTAGAGTTTTTTTACAATCTTATTCATATTGATCTTCCTTTAAAAAGAAAACTGCAGGTATCCAATCCCTCAGTACCAAAATTGTATGTGTTGCCTAAAATTCATAAGCCGGATAAATCTATGCGCCCAATTGTTTCGTCTGAAGGTTCTGTAGGACTTATAATTTGGTAAAATGGTTATCAAGGTAGTTCATAACAAACTCATAAAATCTAATCTAAATATATTCAAAATATTCAGCAAAAACATAGATTTGAAAAAATCAACTTACAGGAATAAACTCCGGCAAGTTGTCAGGTAAATTCAACTGGGCAATTTCGGCTTTTAACTTCTTCCGATGATTTGGTTTCTTAATTCCGATAGCTGTGAGATCTTCTGGAGTCATTCTGCCGATGGTCGGTAAGTCATAACCCGCCGACACAAACAATGGGTAGTATTCTTCGAATTGCAAGTCTACCAGCCACGAGTGAATGATATCTTGGTCCTAAAAATAAAAATTAGATTGAAAAAAAAACTTAAATAATTTAAGTTGTATCATTAATAAAACAATATACATTCGGTGTAATGGTTCCTGCTCAACTGAATTTACCTCGTTTATAAACAAAAACTAAAATTGTTCTTCGAAAAAACACAGTGGAAGTTGTATATCATTTAATTCAAAATGTACATTTTATCGAAATTATATACTCTCCCGAGACATACTATAATTGATAACGCTGTCGAGATTTTTCTTATTAAAATTGTTTGTTCATTAAATTTTCATTTTAGTTTTTTTTTTTTTTTTTTTTTTTTTTTTAGTAATAAAATTATTTAAATAATTTACAAACATAATAAATCGGTTGAGAGGTATTATTCAAAAGAAACCCTATCTTGTGGAACAAAGTTTAAAGAGAATTTGATACAAGGTGGGTCAAATTTGACGATTTTATAGGAAAAGAAACATCCCTTTCTATAGGAGATAGACGAGAACTAATATCGGTGTCAGGGGCTCAATTTTTATCAAAAAACATGATGGTAGGAATCATGATTCTGGTACCGTTTCATGGTTACGGGCGTTTTTCAAAAATGTACATTTTAACAAATCGTTGCTTTAACTTCTTTGCTATGGAAAATTTTGTACTTTATGAAAACATTTCCAAACGTTTTTTTACGTAGAATGTAATGGTTTAAGTATAATTTTTTAAATTAATAATTTAAGAGTTATCAACACAAAAATTGTTTATTTGGGACACCCTGCTTTTAATTAAATGAAAGAACTTAAAATTATGACACAGACGCAAGACGCCTCAGAACGCTGAAGTTATCAACTTAAAAATTTTTGCAGCCAATTTCGAGAATAATTGAATAAGCTAACCAAGATCCCAGCCGTTGTTGGCCGTCGAGGCCGCGGGACTTAGTGCCTATGGATTTTTATCTTTGCGGAAAAATAAAGGTTCTTATTTTTAAATTGCCCGCTATAATCTAGACACAAAATTAGAAGTACCAGCGGTTATGTCAGGGTATCATTCTTTCACTCCCACTGAGTTAATGAATTCCGCGAGAAATGTCCAAAAACGGTCCTGTCTGTCCATAACAGAAGACTGGCAGTGAGTTCTACTGTTCAGGCCCAATAAATATCGGAGCCTCTCTTTTGAGTTTGAAAATACGACCAAATTTTATTGCACAGCAAGTACACCAGAATGGAAGAGCATAAACGACGATGTGACTCAAAAAGGGAATAATAAGCTATTCTAGAGGTTGATAAGTTAAGTTCCTTAGAAACTGATCTTAGCGTAAAATAGGCAGCGCTTAGTTTCTTTGATAAAGCTTCGATGTGCAAGTCCCATTTAACGAGGATTGACATGTCGAATACCTGTAGCAAAATCACATGTCTTGGTTTGCTATTAATTTTTATTGTTATTGATATAATTTAAATATGTTGATGTTGTTAAATATAGTTTAAATTGTTATAAAATTCTGTATCTCTCATTGCAAATATTTTTTTTTATTATTTTTTAATTGCTGCTCACAGCTAAATTTTTTTGCATTACAGTCGGCGCCGCGCCGTTAGATTTAAAAGCCTACTTATTCAAAGTGGGCGAATTTTTTAAAAAATCTATCGAAGAGGAATCGAACAAAATATGCTATATTTTGAAAGCATACTATATTTTTGGAAAAGTTATTTTAAGTCTTTTTAATGAATTAAAATTATACAGGGTGTCCCATATAAAAAAAAAATATATTTTCTGTAGATAATTCTTAAATTATTAATTTAAAAAATTATGCCCCAAACCATTAAATTCTACGTAAAGGTACTTTGAAAATATTTTCATAAAATTCAAAATTTTCCATATCAAGACCACAACGATTTGTTAAATCTGCATTTAACCGGTAACGAATGTTTTTTCACCATCATGTTTTGACAAAAATTGAGCACCAGACACCGATATTAGTCTATCTCCTATAGAAAAAAGTGTTTCCTTTTAAAAGATTCCAATTTGACCCACCCTGTACCTAGATATACATTTATTATACGCTATAAAAGAAAAAAAACCGCTTAAAGTTAGGCAGAAAATTGTACCAAATTGGTACTCACTTAATAAATATATTTTAAGTATGTTTTCTGCCCTGAAAAACCCAAATTTTTAGGTTATTAGTAAAACAGAGTTTTTAGTATATTTTTTATAAATAACTGGGTGATAGATCAATAACATCAAAATATCTATTTTATATATAATCCATATCTAGTAAATATTTGATTGTAATACGTACTGGTACTCCTTGATGGATCATTCTCTCTATCCTGCCTTGGATCAGATCCGATCAGATCACGAACTCAAAAAGAACACCTGGGGCTATTCGAAGAACCTATGGTACTTCTCCCTGCCGTGCTCAGAGGATGGTACGACGCCCTGCCGCTGTCGAGGGAAGCGGTACTATGTCTGGACCCAGAACCCGCGCTCCCACTGGAAGAACCTGGACTATCTCGACCTGGGGACTAGAAGGAAGGATAAGTTACATCATGTAAATAATCCAAGAGTTTTGTGTGTAATTCTTACTAATAAATATACCACGAGCCTTATGTCTTAGTTAGTAGACTTACTCTAGTTAATGTTTGATCGAGCTCGAAACAGCAATGTAGCAATTTATTTTTTTTTTTTTTTTTTTTTTTTTTTTTTTTTTTTTTTCAATAATATTTTTTATAAAGGAAATTCTTTGTGATTCCAATGTTCAATGATGTTAGTTTGTAAAGTCTTATTGTACAAACGATGTTATTTTGTTAATTGACTCGTTCGTAAGTTTGTTTTTATACAATAATTGCAAAATTTTAATGCCTTTTTTATACATTTTAGAAACTATCCAGATGATGGGAATAAATTTCTCAAGCTTAAATGAAATAAAAGTAAGTTTTATTAGCCTATGTGGCGATTATTGACTGCATCCTCACTAAAATTGAGTTTTTTCTTTACTTAGTCAATTTTAAATGTTGTTATTTTTGTTTATCATCAAGATGCATATTTTCTTGATACTTTGTTTTTAATCATCTCCGACCTTTCATTTTGTTAAAAATATTTAAAAACTAGTAACGATTTACAGCAATTTTCTTATTAAACGCATGCCTTTGCTTTTGGTTGTAATCAATATACCTATGAAATAGTCTTTATTTATTTTGTAATGTTAACTGTCATTGAAAAGCCATATTATTATTGTTATTGGCAGTTCTCTGGCAGCGTTTACTTGGAGGCTTTAAGTTCAGAAGTTACGCGGGGATATTGTTGTTTTAATTGAACATGGTAGAGATCTACTTCTGCACTTAAAACCATTTCTGCTAGAGCAACTAGCAACCTATGCTAGCAACAGACAGTAATAATATGCCATTTCCAATGATAGTGACATTAAAAAAGCATTAACCACTATTTCATAGGTATGTTAACTTGAGGATCAAAATCAAAGGTATGCTTTTAATTCTGAAATTGCTATAAATCGATAATGTCTTCTTCAAAGCAAGTATCTCAATAAAAAATAAAGTAACTAAGATAAATCAAAAACGAACCATCGAAAAAAGATGCACCTTGATGATAAAATGGTTTAAATTCATACTTTGTTAAACCATTCCACAGGGTGTTTCAAACTTTGCGGCTCAAATAACGTTTTCCTCTTATAATAGACACAAAGATTTATTAATTTTTAATTTAAAAAGGCAAATAATTTAGCTATATATTGCGTAAAAATCATATCAAAATAGGCTTAGAGTAGGTGCAACGACGTCCCGTAATCTTGATGTTAAAACATGGTGGTTTTATATACCTTGTTTCAAAAGATGTGCCATCTCTCATGGGGAGATTCCTCACGTAAAATAAGATTTATTTTTCCTTAAGCTTATCAACAATGTCCCATTCTGCTTTGTTTCTTAACTACAGGGTGTCGAATTCTTAATAATCTTTATTATAATTGTCTTCCAAGATCTTTTAGTGATTCGAATGAAATTTTGATGGTAAAAGTTACTATAAATGCTACATATTTTAAACGACCAGGGACGTGCATATGGGTTATCACTGGAATATTTTTCTAAAAAAACATGTACGTCACTGACTTTTTTCTCTTGTTAGCGAAATATGGACTTTGATCCAAGTTAATAACAATCTCAAATTATCATTAACATGCAAAAGTTTTAAATAAGTACTCGTTGATTCCTCATCAAAAATTATGAAAAAAAGTTCCTATAAACATGGGTATGGAAATACATAGTTTTAGATACACAGGATGTTAAAACTTTTTAAAATTAGTTTTTTTGTAATTATCTTAAATACCATTATTTTTTTATTTGAAATTGCTGTATGTTGGACTAATAGTAATAATAACTACTAGTAATAATATTTAATAATAAATTAGGCAAAATATATAATTTATTAATTTTGATTAATAAAATTGCGTTTATCTGATCAAGGAGGCCGAATTCGACAAAATATCAAGAGATAATTTTTAATTGGCATTAAATAGCCTACATAATTTTAATATCAAAAGAAAAAAGTCAGTGGCACACATGTTTTTTTTTGAAAAATATTCCAGGGATAACCCATATGCACGTCCCTCATGAATTTATTGACACTTTTTTAGTATTAAAATATGTAGCATTTATAGTAACTTTCATCTTCAAAATTTCATTCGAATCACTAAAAGATCTTTGAAGAAAATTATAATAAATCGAAAGATTATTAAGACTTTGACACCCTGTAGCTAAGAAACAAAGCAGAATGGGACGTATGTTGATATGAAAAATAAATCTTATTTTTACGCGAGGAATCGCCCCACGAGAGATGGCACATATTTTTTGAAACACCCTGTATAAAACCAGCTGGTTATGTTTTAACCGCAGGATTACGGGACGTCGTTGCAGCCATCCTTATTAGAACAAAATAGATTGAACTTTAAATAACATGAAATTTTAAGGTGTGTCCGTTTTTTGTGCCGACCAATGGAGAAGCTCAAACAAGTAGGTAACTATTATCTGTATATACAGTAAAGTAAATATTGATATCAAATAGGTACCTGTGTCATGTCAATACCCTGGTCCTCTTGTAAACTGAGCTGGTGATGGTAGTACACGGCCGCCTTGTGGGTGAGCACCGCTCCGGGGGGCGGCTGACCAGGAAACGTGAACGTGGGGGCGGGGAATATGGGTCCTGGGGATTTGCCCGTGCTGCCGCTGACTGTACTGCCGTAGTCTGAGTGGTCATCTGAAAGAAAAAACACTATTAGGATTTTTGCATAATTTAATTCACACCACGGTGCGAAAATTGTTGAAACGTAATATATGTAAGAGCAGAAACGAATTTTTGCGATGGAAGTGTGGTTTTTAAGTTCATGGTCGTTTGAAATAGATGAAGAAAGGATGTTAAAAAAATAGCTAAAACATTGGGGGAGAAATGGATCATAATGTATTAATCACGATTAATTAAATTAAAATAAAAATAAAAATAATAAATTATATATTTTACTTGATTCATTAAATATTATTACTATTAGTCCAACCTACAGCAATTTAAAATAAAAAAATAATGGTGTTTAAGATAATTACAAAAAAACTAATTATAAAAATTTTTAAAATCCTGTAACTCTAAAATTAGGTATGTTCATACCCATGTTTACGGAACTTTTTTTCATATTTTTTGATGAGGAATCAATGAGTATTTATTTAAAAGTTTCGCAAGTTAATGAAATTAAAATTTTTCAAAGGTTGCTATTAGACTTGGATCAAGGCAAATTCATAAAATTGTGTTTATCCCATCAAGGAAGCCGAAATCGACAAAATATCAAGAGACACTTTTTAATCGGCATTAAACTGCTTACACTATTTCGCTAACAAGAGAATATCAGTGGCGTACATACTTTTTTCAAAAAGTGATAACCCATATGCACGTCCCTGGTAAATATGTCGACACTTTTTTAGCTTTAAAATATGTCGCATTTATAGTAACTTTTACCCTCAGAATTTCATTCGAGACGCTAAAAGTACTTGGAAGAAAATTATAAGAAATCAAAAAAATATTAAAACTTTAACACCGTGTAGCTACGAAACAAAGCAGAATCGGACCTATGTTGATACGAAAAATAAATCTTATTTTTACGTGAGGAATCTCCCCACAAGAGATGGCACATGTTTTTTGAAACACCCAGTATAGCCAGCTGTAAGGTGTCCAGTTGGCGATGACGATCGATGACATTTTCCATATAAATTTACATATAAAATGAGAGCGATATTCATGTCATAGCCATCTAACGCCGTTTTTTTTTTAATCGTACGGTATAATTGTGTACTGAAATTTATTTCAATCTCTTCAATGTTTTAAAAATAACCAACAAGTTTAGAACGTTAATTCATGTAGACTAAAGAAATGCATCTAGAATGTGCATGGCAAAAATCTTTTGAAAGTATATAATTTTAATTTAACGCCCAGTGAGGTGAAGTCGATCGTAAACCAAGCTTTATAACAACTTTGGTGTCATTGAACAATTTATACACATAGTCTTTTACAAAAAGATCTAAGCAGTTCAGTGTTCAGTGTGACGAGAGCCGCTAGCTTAAACGATTCAATTTTGCATCTACATCTCTAAAGTTTGTTCAATCCCAATATGCACCAAATGCAAACAATTATATGAGGGTATATGAGGGTTGCAGGTGAATAGTAATTATTGTAGTATTACTGTGTATTACGTCCAATGCCTAGGGTTCCCAACCGTCCCGGTTTGGCCGGGATTAACCAGGAATCAGAAAGTTTGTCCCGGCGAAAGTTTTTGCCTTTGGCCGGGACCTGGGCACTAATAAAGGGGCACACTACACACATAATATATTTTAATTTCTAATATTTACTGTTTTGTTTCAATTATTTAAAAGCTTAAAAATAATTGTCCCGGAATCGCCGATGCTCAAGTTGGGAACCCTACCAATGCCTCATGTACTTGTCTGGTGTATACTGGCTTTGAATAAACTGTATCTACATACATTTTCGTATTAAAAATAAATAATATAAGCACCAAGTAATTATAGTCATTCAGTAATTCTGGTTCTCGTCCTTAACCCCGTCCTTGAGAACCCGTCAATCAAACTTGGGCTAAACGGCGTACCCACCCATGAAAACCAAAAAAAACATACCATCGACCCGTTTTAAATTCGACAGAAGCAGACGGTAGTTATTAGGAATGTCCCTGTCAGGAGGAAAATATCGATATTTCAATTTACGATATTTTACCACATAAGCTAATTTTGTAATGCATTTACACATTCACTTAATACATCAAATATCTTGACAACATGTCAATA